AGTAACAATAGAAAAACAGTGTTTCTCTGTGGAGACATAAAAAAAGAGTTTGGAGGAAGAAGTAACAATAGAAAAACATTGTTTCTCTGTGGAGACATAAAAAAAAAGAGTTTGGAGGAAGAAGTAACAATAAAAAACATTGTTTCTCTGTGGAGACATAAAAAAAAAAGAGTTTATGTATTTAGTTTGTTGCAAGTGTGTATTAGAATGTGACATATACAAATGGCCCCTTGTTATCCTTGAATACGAAACATTTTTACAAATTTACCTGTACCTATATTGTCTCACAAGATTTTAAATTTTTGTTTTGAGAAACTGTGAATGTTTAGTTATGAAATATTGATTCAAACAAACTTTTTTTCTTATAGAGTCAATTATCGATTTATAAGAGTGGATTTTTACATCCTATAAATACTTTTTAGAAGCACAAACATAATTTTCTTTAATTTAACCACCAACCTGTTTTATTAACGTTATATTTTCAACATCTAATAAAACATCTGGTCTATTAATGTCAACTTACATATGTTACCATGTTTTTATAATACAGTGCGTGTGAGGTTATCACTAAATATAGTTTAACACAAAAGCTTTTTGTTTGTATGTTCAAGTTTTAAAATAAAAAGTTTTCTAAGTTTACTGTCTCTACGCGCATAATTTTATCTACGTATATATATATTTTTGATGAGGTGAAGCATAAAGTACAAAAATGATTTGGAAAAGTGTAATAAAAAGAAACTTTTTCAATACTTCTGCAATATTCTTGGAATGAAGAGAAGCATGGTGTATCTTTTGTCCTCTTTTCTCTTCTGAGACATAAATAAATTAAGATTTTATTTTTCTTAACAATATTACAGACAATGTTTAAGAAATGTGGATTGTTTTCAAATACTTTTCCATACTGACTCTTTTCAGAATATTTCATCTTTTCATTTGCTGTAGACTTTAACTTTTCATTCAGATTTTGTCGCTGGAATAAGTGGAAGTGTCAAATGTGTTATAGTTCAAGCCTGCCCTTCAGAATGAAATCTCTCAGCTGACTGAAAAGATATTTGTAAGTAACTTCTTGGAAATATACAAATTAAAATTTTCTACAAGCAAGCTAAGCAATGGTAAAGCAAATATCTTGACTTTATATTGTTTTTTTATTTTACTGACACCATCATGTTATAATAAATCCAATCAAAAACACTTTAGGTGTGAAAAAAACGTGCGTCCAAAAAAAAAAGCATTGAGCGTGCGACCTATAGGAATGAAATCAAAATTGGTGGCGAAACTGGTAGCTACACTTACAGCATTGATCAGAATTTGATAGCAAATATTCATTCATTAGTTAGCTAGGTCACATATTGTTTTACCCACCATCATACCTTATATGCACTGAAGGGTCAAAAAGTGTGGATGTTATGACCTTTTACAAAGTATATTCAAATTTTAATTTAAAAACTTTATTACTGAAGCATGTTGGTAAACTTGACATCAAAACTTAAGTTTATAATTTAAATTTTTAATATTATCATAATTCCAAAAGGATATATTAAAGAAATCTGTTGTATGACACATTTGTGCCACAAATTGCTCATTTTAGGTTATCTTTCTACTCTTGTATGATTATCTGAGTGTCACACTAATTAGAAGCACACAGTATATATATTAACAAACCACCATAGAATGTCCAAGCCCACATGGTATGTCTCTTCCCATGTCATGCTGTCTTTCAACAGTTCACTCTGACATTGCTATTGGATTATTTATAACTAATAGAAAGAGCAGCTTTTTTTGTACAAGATTATTTACATTATTATTTCATATTGGTACCGGTAAGTAGATATTTAACACCGGTTTTATTGTTTGCGATCATTTCTTTCTCTGCATTGAGCAACTAGTAGAATTTTTTAAACCTATTTATTTTATAACTTAGTTAAAAAGCCAGTTAAATTTTAGTAGTTTTGAGACATTATATTATAGTGTCTGATATATTTTTGTGTTTGAAATGCATACTTGAAATGAACATGAATTATTTTGTGGATAACCAAAGTAATATGAAAAAAAACAGTGCTAAAGAAATACACTCTTAAGTACCAATTACTGAATTAGGCTTAAACTCGTAGTTCAAAATCTGATTGCATCACGTGATTATAATTTTATCAGTTGTTTACATTAAATTCTCCTGTTGCTACTTGGATAGGGCTTAAAGGGTTTTGTAAAATAATAAAGGTAAAAACAAACAAATTTGAAATGGTTAGATAGTCAAGACTGTTACGATAAGTAATTGTAATTGTCTATTACAATCTGCAGTCATTCTAGAAGAAAAAAATTATTGATTTTATTTTGTATTCATCAGCTTTATCCTCTCCCTATATATATAGATGATTTAATTACAATTATTTAGGGTAGAGGTAAAATGAGGTTTTACGGGTTATGCAAATAAAAACTGTAATGGGAAAAGAAGTAGTCTTATTCTTTTCATGAAAATCACCTTTCACTCAGACTGACTCAGTAAAGGCTTTGCAAATTTACAGACAAATTTTTGGTAGAAATACTTTATTAAAAAATCAGATTTTTTTTTGTATACAACAGACTTAATGTTTACTAAAACATTTAGAAAGATACATTTAGCAAGTTCAGAGTCATAGTAAACATTACTAGGTACATTTCACAAGCTTGGCAAATAAAAATTTATATAATTCCTCAGTTTTAATCTGTTGTGTTTATGAATCTGATAAAACTTTTATCTAACTAGAGAAATTTTAAAGAACAGTGACATTGTTTCTCAAAAATTATTTACTGATGTTTCATTCATCAACTTAAACTTTCAGTGAAAATACAACTGATATTTAAGCTTTATTGTCATATTTTACTAATTTGTTTTCATCAGTCACCAGAAGAAGGTGATTGTCGAGAAACTGATACAAATGATTTAAGACATAGTATGACATTACTTCTTGATGCCAGGAGAGGTTTACATTCATCTAGCTGACACTCCTAGTAAATGGAATGTACAGAGTGATGATGAGGGACATTAGTCTTATGTCTGTGTATTAACGAAGACAGAATCTTTAGCTTTGAATAGTTGTTATGACGTGTTCTTATAGCTTGTTTGCTGAAGGATTTTCAAAACTGTGTGTGACTCAAGAAAGTGGTATTCTGTTCTCCTTTGGTAATGTGTCAGCATAGTAAGTTGTTGAATAAAGTGGTATTCTATTCTCCTTCGGTAATGTGTCGCCATAGTAAAGTGGTATTCTATTCTCCTCCGGTAATGTGTCACCATAGTAAGTTGTTGAATAAAGTTGTATTCTATTCTCCTTCGGTAATATGTCACCTTAGTAAAGTGGTATTCTGTTCTCCTTCGGTAATGTGTCACCATAGTAATTTGTTGAATAAAATGGTATTCTATTCTCCTTCGGTAATGTGTCACCATAGTAAACTTGTTGAATAAAGTGGTATTCTATTCTCCTTTGGTAATGTGTCACCATAGTAAGTTGTTGAATAAAGTGGTATTCTATTCTCCTTCGGTAATGTGTCACCATAGTAAGTTGTTGAATAAAATGGTATTCTATTCTCCTTCGGTAATGTGTCACCATAGTAAAGTGGTATTCTGTTCTCCTTCGGTAATGTGTCACCATAGTAAGTTGTTGAATAAAGTGGTATGCTTTTTGCCTTACTTGAGATGTCACCATAATAGGCTGTTGCATTAAGATGTATGCGTTTCTCCTTAATATTGGTCACATTTATGGACAGACCACTCAATGCTCTGCTAGTTTAAAGTAATGCTACTCTGGTTAAAGTCAGTAGAAATAAAACAACTATTTTTTCAGTAACTAAATGACATACAATCGTATAGGTGAAAACATTAATATGACTAGTGCTGTTTGCGAGCTACTTGTCTACTAGTTTCGTTAGAAATGGAAGTAAAATAATAAACCTCTAAGATAATTCTAAGAAATATGTGGTCCTTGTATAATGAAGTTCAAGTTCTTATTTTTATTGAAGATGGAATATTCACTTTTTAAAAGTAACCTGTGAGTTTTTGATTGTTATGTAAAGAAAACACTATGTTTTGTACATGCTTAAACAATCTGCCAACCATTTTCAGTTAATGTACTAAAAAGTTTTTTGTTCTGTTAAACGAAGCTAGTAAAGCAGGAAGTACATTCTTATATCAATCAGACCACGAGAGATTCAATACAAAATTGTACAACCAAAATTTTCAACAGTTTAAAGAACCTTACAATTTATAGTTTGACTAACCTGCTACAGATAGCTTTTGTAAATTTAAAAATTTTTTATTTCGTTTGGTAAACTGTTAATATAAAAATTTTGTGAATTCAAGCAGGTTAGTGTGTCAAAAATTATGTCATGGTTCAATAGAAAAAGTCAACCTACGATATAACGTGTTTTAAGTTCTCACTTGCCCTTCAAAGGGAAGAATGTCTCTCTTTTTAATTTCAACACGTGAATATGTCTAGCATAGAGTATTATAACTTTTCCATATCTGGTTAGGTTTGCTAAAGGCTGAAATTTATGTTAATAAAAAAATATTTCCTAAGGAAGATCTCACTAAAAAAATTTGATTCTAAGTAAAATCCTACAGAAATCTAGTTGTGTTGTCCACAAGATGATTAATTATCACATCTGGACGTCTCCCCCTTGTTCTGTAAGCGGTCACAAATTTCACACTGGCTGCATTTCTATCCTCTAACAACATGTATATATTTCCAATTTTATTTTATAAATAACAGCAGCTAAATTTTAATAAAATATTTAATGTACAATACATGTGATACCATCAGTTCTTATATAAAGTAATAGGACACATAGCTATAATTTCTCTGAACAGATAGATTTTGAAAGTATTGTTTGTTAACTGAACTTAAAGTGACTAAGACTTTACCAAACATTTTGTCTTCTTGATTTATCAAAATAATTGCTGGATAGGTAACTTACAAGAGCTCTGGTTTACACTAGCAGCAACCAGTATGGATCTTCACACAAATGAGGTGTTAAACATGCTGTAATAATTGTGTTAGAAAATGCATGGGACTTAGATCGGGTCAGCTACACAACAATAGTAATTACAAACTAGTGTGTCAATATTTTAAAACTCAAGGAAATATAACTTTTACCAAGAAACAAAAAATCTCACTTTTAGATCCACTACCCTGGTATCACAACATGTGGACAAGTGATAAAAGACAAAGCATAGTATTTTTGGGAATAAAAGTTAGATGAAAAAAAAAAGGACTTTTACTCTCCAGATAATAATAATAATAAAAATATTTTTGCTATTGTAGTACAAACCCTAATGAAGTAAGGTGAAAAGTTGGCCAAAATAAAGCTTTTTTTTATTATTATCTGGAGTGTAAAGGTAGTTATTTTCTAATTTTATTACCAAAATGTCTAAATCCTTCCAACATGCACCAAAATTTTGAAAAACAAAAAACATACTACTTAGACAAGCACTAATTAGAAAGAAAACATACCCATTATGCAATATTCAGAGAAAGAGTCATAAATAGATAAATTTGTTGTATTTATTTCTGTACATAATGACTCATTCTACAAAACTAGTAAACAAGACTGGCCACCTGCTAACCAGAAATTGCAGCCTGTTTTATACACGCCACAGCAAGCTAAGTAAATACATTCTGTAGGAAAATAAACATATCCGAACTGTTTATCATGTCGCTGCTGTACCCTTCTCTTCTTTCTCTTTATTTTCTAAGCTTTTGTTCCATCCCTCCAACCCTTTCGGTAATGAAGTATCTTCATCTAACGACCCAGTTCCTTCCACAAATTCTTCGTAGGAAGACTTTTCTTTAAACGGCCGTTGTCCGAGCAACTCTATCATGTCTTCTCTACTTAAAATTTCCTTTTCAAGCAATCGTTGTGCCACCTATAGGTAAGAACAACATTTTCTTCTGGATGAAGTGTCAGTATTATCACAAGATGACTTTTAAATTAGTGGACTACAGAAATCTTGACTGATCTCCAGATATAAAGTCAATGTATCTACATAGGTAATATCTTCAAATAAGTCTAAAGTACTGATTCGTAAGAGGCAACGATGTTAATAACAGAAGAAGACAGTAAAATAAATATAGTTTTAACTTAGAATTATTTGCAAGACTACTGAAATACACTAGAACAGTTACCCCTCCCCAACTGAATATGGGGCACAAGATTTGAGAACACCCAGCAATTTAAGGTAAATCAGCAGAAGATGTATTGTAGGTTTTGCTACAAAACTCTTTGAAGTGTAAACTAAACTTTACATGTTTATTTTAAATCATTAAAGTATCAAACATACAACACTGAAACTAGAAGGTCATAGATAGGCCTAAATAAAATATTTTTAATTGTGTACCAGTTTAACGTTGAATATTATTTATGATTTTAACTTTATACAAAAGTGCCAAAATACTATAATTAGAAAACACCCTTTTGTCTTCAGTTTTCACACATCATGTTACATCCCTTTCAAGGTTCCTTGTATGAAATTTTATTCAATAATTAAAAAACAAAGAATCAAATGGTAGCCAATGTCATATACTATACAGAAGTATAGTTTGACAAAATAACCCAAACCTTTCAAACAATGAATGTTCAACATTAGAAATTTCTTACCAATCTTTAAAGTAATTTTTATATTACTCAGTTACTCACTTGTAATCATACTGGTTCTAATATAATGAATAATTTAGCAAACACAACTTTAACCGAGGTATTTTAAAAGTGTAACCGTTACCTTTTCGATATCCGATTTGTGTGAAGTCAACAGCTGCATGGTACTTTCATAAGCCTTCTGCACTAATGTTCTCACTTCTTGGTCAATTATCTGAGCCGTTTCTTCACTGTAAGGTTTATCAAGAACCAGTTCACCAGACTGTGGTAAATCAAAGGACAAGTTTCCCACTTTCTCGCTCATTCCAAACTGAACAACCTAAAAACGCAGACCACTCAGATGTGAAATATGTAGTTGGAGAAAACTGGAGAAAATCTCTGACCAGAAGGCAAGTATTTAAAACAAAATATTTTCCTGATAACATAAAATATACTCTGGATAATAAATCAATCAAAGATACATTTATGTTTTAAGCTCGTACATTATATGCACAGCCAAACTTCAAGGAATACAACCTGGATATTTACAAGATGACAGAATTTGTTGTTCACAAACCTCTCAACAATTACATCAACAATGTTAGGGTCAAGTATCACTATGTTTCTAACCAAAGACAGTTACATTTTGTTATATTCATCATGTTCCCAATCAACAAGGATTAGATGCAACTGACCTGAGCATAGGCACTTTGGGTAACTTTCTTCAGGTCATCCTGAGCTCCCGTTGTGATCCGTCCAAAAAATAAGGTCTCTGAAACTCTACCCCCAAGGGTCATGCACATTCTGTCGAACAACTGAAAGTAAACTTGTAGATTTTATAATAAACCTAAAACACAACCTGAACAAAAAAAAACATCCGACATGTTGGTGTATTGATCACTGTTACTTTTAAATTGAAGCAAATCATAATTTCAATACAAAAACAGCAGGAATCTTTACGCTTCTGGTACGTATGCAACAGACTTAACTAAACTACGTGGAACATAAACTTCTACTACATGTTCAATAAAAACCACAATAAATAATATGTAAGATAAATTAAAACAACTGAAATACTTAAGTAACTTCCAACCTGTTCGGTGCTGTAAAGGTACTGCTCCTTGGGAAGATACTGTGCATACCCCAACCCTTTACCTCTCGGGATGATGGATACTTTCAACAGAGGATCTGCATGTTCCAAAAACCATCCAGCCACAGCATGGCCTGCCTCATGGTAGGCAACTGTCTTCTTCTCATCAGGCTGAAGAACATTGGTTTTCTTCTCCATCCCTAGAAGATAAACATAACAAATTTGTACTTTGTTTTACACTTCTTTAAATAATACATTATACATAGCTCAGTGTGAATCAGGTATCTCAACAAGTGAGCTTAACCGAAGTTTCTCAACTCTGTGAATTGGGTAATTCAAGTATCTTGGCAGCTTAGTGTGACCTGGGAAGTATCAAGAACTCAATTTTACTCCAGTATCTCAACAGCCATAGCATGAATCAGGTAATTCAAGTATCTCAACAGCTTAGTGTGACTTGGGAATTAACAAGAACTCAATTTTACTCCAGTATCTCAACAGCCATAGCATGAATCAGGTAATTCAAGTATCTCAACAGCTTAGTGTGACTTGGGAATTATCAAGTATCTCAACAGCTTAGTGTGACTTGGGAATTAACAAGAACTCAATTTTACTCCAGTATCTCGACAGCCATAGCATGAATCAGGTAATTCAAGTATCTCGGCAGCTTAGTGTGACTTGGGAAGTATCAAGAACTCAATTTTACTCCAATATCTCAACAACCATAGCATGAATCAGATATCCCAACAGCTTACAGTGCCATTTAACATGGTATTCTGTATGTGATTTCAGAGTTAACAACTATTATATTTTACTTTGCTGATTTAACAAAAGTTCATGGTAGATACAATATAGAGGGATACTGATAAAAAACTGTAGAGGTTATGCAAACCGTACAACACACAAAAGTATTTTTATTCTTTACATGAATATCACCTTGCACTCCCAAGAGTCTGAGTCAGACTAACATTGGCAATTCACAGATATACCGTGACTACAAATAAATTTGTAATACACCCAATTTTTTGTGTTTGTAAAATAGACTTGTATATCTGACTAAAAGCTTGCCAAATTTCATGTAGGTTTACATAGTCAATTCAGAATTATATTCTTTCTTCGATACATGATCAGTCCCCTAGATTGACCTCATGCACATTCAGTTAAAAATATCTAATATTCAAAGTACAGATTTTTTACAAACACTTTTCTTTAACCTTCTCTGCACGAGCTTCCTTAACTGTGCATGTCACAAGGTTTTAGTGTCTAACATTCAAAAATTTAATTAAACTACTTTTTGTTTATGTTATACCAATTAGTATAGCATAAAATCTTAGCTAATAATCCATATTTTAATATTATACAAGTTTTAAGTTCTTAATTTTATAAGGCAATATTATTTAAAATCTTGAATTTCCCTTAGTGTTTGGTTACAGAGCCACCAAGTAGAAAATCAGGTTCCTCTTGTCACACCTACCTGTCACATCCTCTCTTTCAGGATTTGTTAATAGTTCTCTCTTACATTTAATTATTTATTATTTATAACCAATAGAATGCCAAAGTTTTCATCTATCAAATCACATATCATATTATGTTGTTTTTTGAACAGAAAATTGTCAATTTTTCTTTTAATAAAAGTTTTGTTCCCACAGGAAACATATCAACTAGATTGGATGAATTTTTAAAGGCTCTTGTTGCATAGTTGGAAAACCAGAAAAATTGTTATCGTTATGGGACATTGTCTGCTTTTTATATGTTATTATTCTATGTTCTTTGGTGCATTATTTAATTTAAAAAATTATTTAATGCATTAATACCATTAGTATATAAAAAGTAGGGTCGTGTGTCCTCGACAGCAAAAACAAAAAAGACCTGGGCAAGTACTTTATTTCTTGTTTTTCATGTGTATTCTTTATTTATTATTATAAAAGTAACTAAAATGTAAAAATAGGAATCTCTTTAAGTTAGTTACAGTTAGATGAGGTAAAATAAACAATACTAATATGATAAAAATGTTTCACGAGACACACATGCAAGCAGCTCGTGGGTAATGTAATTCGAGCTCCACATTAGAGTTAGGGTAGAGAATTACTGAAAACAAGTGTTTGAAATGTACGTATTTAGGAGGTTTCGGATATTATGCAAATTAAATGAGATTTTTTGAGATGAAGTATTTTTAATCTTAACGTGAAAATCACTTTGCACACAGACTAGTAAAAAAAAAGACTCGATATATTCACGGACAAATTTTTATTAAAAATACTTCACAAAAAAAAATCTGATTTTTTGTATGTGAAAGACTTGTAACGTTTACTGAAGATATATGTGCTATATTAAAATGTAGTAGTATCAAAACTATAACGACTTTGAGTGAAAAGTGGTTATGTAGTTAGTTAATTCAACAGAAGAGAGAGTTGAAAAGGATCATTTGATGAAAGTTTAAAATTTATATTCAAAATCTGAAATCAAAACTCATGAAAATAAAAATTCAGATGTTACCAGCCACGACTCTCTCAATTGCTTGTTCAAAATGCTTCATTACGATGTTGTCATTCAAGTCTCGAGCAGCAATCAGGGCAGCTTCATTACACACGTTAGCAATATCGGCCCCTGAAACACAGATGTTAAATCTGAGGAACGATACGATGGATAAAGCTAAACTATTAAATCTGAAAGAGAAAGGTAAAAATAACACAGGTATAGAATACACACCTCAGTACCTAAAGTTACCTGGTGAGTAAATACAAAAATACTCTATCTGAAGGTGTAAAATACAGGGTCATAGAGACAAACTTAAATCATTTTACATAAAGGAAACTTTTAAAAATACTATAAAAATGTTATGATATATTCAACTTTTTTACATTATGAGGTAATAACTATATATAGCATTTATTAGAAGGTTATTGCTTTCTTAGTGCCAGAGTTGGGCGATTTTACTTGCACTAATAATACTTACTGAAACTAAAGGTGATAATATTACTAATTTATGTTTTTGCAAAAAAAAACAAAGATCTGTTAATGTTTATCATTATCACAAGCAAAATATCCCTTATTTGACATTCAGAAACTGTGACACAGTCAATAAAGATGTGTGTGATACTAATCCCTTATTTGACATTCAGAAACTGTGACACAGTCAATAAAGATATGTGTGATACTAATCCCTTATTTGACATTCAGAAACTGTGACACAGTCAATAAAGATATGTGTGATAATAATCCTTATTTGACATTCAGAAACTGTGACACAGTCAATAAAGATGTGTGATACTAATCCCTTATTTGACATTCAGAAACTGTGACACAGTCAATAAAGATATGTGTGATAATAATCCCTTATTTGACATTCAGAAACTGTGACACGGTCAATAAAGATATGTGTGATACTAACAATCACATATTTGACATTCAGAAACTGTGACACAGTCCATAAAGATATGTGTGAT